TTAAAACTTCAATATTATATGAAATTATATGTTCTATTATATTTATTTGTTAAAGTAAAACTTTTCTACTTGCATCTAGTTTTAGTTGGTGTAATTTAATTTGTTAATTAACAATTAAAATATTTAGCAGAAGAATTTTAATTAATAATTTTCTATATTTAAATACAAACAATATTCTACAAATTGTCATAAAATATAATAATTAAATACAAGATTTTTCATTGAAAAACTAAACTTAATTATGTATTCATTGTAGAACTGACTATTTTTCAAACTTTTGTCAAACTTCTTAATAAATATACAGAAACATATTGCAATAAAAGTTTTTTTTATTATTTCTTTTCATTTACTGTTGAATTTTCAATGTGAAAGCGAAAGTTTGTAAAAGTAAAACGCTTTCGGTTGCGAAACAATTGAAAATTGTAAACAGAGGATTTAGTAGAAACCGGCGTAATCCGGACGATAAATTTATTTTTTCGCAGCTCTCGCGGTTTTTGTAATTTTAAGGAGATACACTTAGGGAGGGAAACGACGTCCGCGCGCAGAACCGGGAGAGTGGATTATGTAAAGCATATTGTTTTGGTGAGAATGGCAGAAGTAGCTGCAAGATAATCCCATTAAAAGCACATTCGTGGGGTGGAAGTTTTTATTGTTCGTTTCTTCTCATCCTCCTCCTCTTTCTTTTCTTCTTTTGCGTGAGTCTATATACACGAAATATAGATCTTTCCGTTTGCTTCGTCTCGGTTCGTGGGCAGAGTTAAAATTGGGGAAGTAATGCGAAAGGGGTGGATGTGAAACGCATCCCGCGGGGCGCGTTCGTAAGCAAAGGATCCACCTTATTACATCCATCCATCGCGTAATCGCGACAATAAACATTAACACTTTGCCACCGACATGGAACCGAATTACCGGAAGCAATGGAAACGGATACGTCGACAACCCCATCACCCTTAACTCGAGCGAAAAATTATGTGTTTCATTATACTAATGCGCCTCTAATATTAACTTATACAATTAATTTTTGGATATTTTGTTTTACTACTCAGCATAATTACAAAACAGTCCTCTTTTTTTTTTGATCTACAATTTTCTTTACTAATGTTTATATGAAAATTTATTGCACTGATCGATTAACGCATTCCGCCGCCTTTGAACCGCATTCCTCTATCGATCCGCAGAACAAGCCACTTTGGCAATCGCTTCAAACGCTTAAATTTAGCCGCAAACGCATCATAATTAAAATCGCATCTGACTAGGCCAGACGACCGAAAAACGACCAATCAAGTTTTCGATAATTTTAGATAGAACGTTGCTATTTTCGCCAAGCAACATACAACACGGAATTGCACTTCTTTTCAATTACATCAATTTCATAATCGCATGTCTATATTTTAAAATAGTGTAGAAATTACTTAATTTTAATCATTTTTCAAACTAATTTTAAGTGAAAAGTTATTACTTTATCCAAATATAAATTCAAATAATTAATAATTGTATTTCTTCTTATCTACTTTAATTAATTTTCTGAAATCTGATATATATTTAAAAAAAAATATAAATTTTTAAACATTTTTCAAAATTATAAGTGAACATCTTCAATAAGAAACACCTGCGATAAGAAACACCTGCAATAAGAAACACCTGCGATAAGAAACACCTGCGAAAAGAAACACCTGCGTTTAATTGAATACCTGCGATAAGAAACACCTGCGATAATAAACACCTGCGATAAGAAACACCTGCGTTTAATTGAACACCTGCGATAAGAAACACCTGCGATAATAAACACCTGCGTTGAATTGAACACCTGCATGAAACACCTGCGTTTTAATTTAACACCTTTAAAACACCTGCAATAAGAAACACCTGCGATNAGAAACACTTGCGTTTAATTGAACACCTGCGATAAGAAACACCTGCGATAATAAACACCTGCGTTTAATTGAACACCTGCGATAAAAAACACCTGCGATAAGAAACACCTGCGATAATAAACACCTGCGATAAGAAACACCTGCGTTTAATTGAACACCTGCGATAAGAAACACCTGCATAGACACTGGTTAATTGAACACCTGCGTTTAATTGAACACCTGCGATAAGAAACACCTGCGTTTAATTGAACACCTGCAATGACACCTGAAACAGGGAAAATACACCTGCGTTTGAATTGAACACCTGCATGAAACACCTGCGTTTAATTGAACACCTGCATTTTTATTGAACACCTGCGATAAGAAACACATGCGTTTTTATTGAACACCTTCAGAAATTTGAAGATCCGTAGTTTCGGATATTAACAATAATAATATTTATTTAATAAAAATTATAATTTTTGAAATTTTTAATCATTTTTAAAAATTATAAGTTAACATCTCCAATAAGAAACACCTGCAGTAAGAAACACCTGCGATAAGAAACACTTGCGTTTAATTGAACACCTGCGATAAGAAACACCTGCGATAATAAACACCTGCGTTGAATTGAACACCTGCATGAAACACCTGCGTTTTAATTTAACACCTTTAAAAATTTGAAGATCCGTAGTTTCGGATATTAACAATACTGAAGTGAACTATTCAACTAAGTTAAGTTTTGTTCATTTTTTTCAAGTTTTCAAAGTAAAGTTGCTTTAGTGTGAACAGTGTATGGATAAAAATGGGTTTTAAAGGAGTTAAAATGCTGAATTTAAAAAGAAATTGCTAAAAATGTTGTTAATTGTTAAAATTAATCTGATCGTTTACGTATGAGTATACAGAATTAACGTATAAAGAATGCTGCGATGATCTCACATCAATCAAGAATCAAGCAATTCATGAAAAAAAAAACAAACAAAAGTGGAATAAAACAAAACTCAATTATGAAGCGGTATATTAAAGCTGTCAATTTGCGGGTGCCGTTTCGAATGATTAAAGAGTTTCGCGTGGCGCCGACGGCAACGGAACGGAAGACGCGGAAAAGTTTTTCCCCGATTGGAAAAATGAATAATAAAAATATTTAACGGGAATCGCATCGCCGGAAACTTGAAACCATGAATAAGAAATAGAAGACGATGCGAAAGTTGGCGATTCGGCGAAAAAAAATATAATAAGAAAATAAAATAAGGGTTGTATAGTGGATGGGAGGATGAAAATACAAAATATATATATTTCAATCTGCGACGAATCCCATTAAAATTCATCGATTTCTTTCGGATCGGCTGAAAAATAAACGGAGGGTATATTTTTTTTTATATAAGGAAGATTATGATTGATGCAGATTGTCGATCGCAATATAAGCTGAGGATTTTGTATAAAGTTTGAGGAAGTTTCTATCTATAAGGATGTTCTTGTTTACAAAATATTTATATTATTAAGATAAGGTTTTAAAAAATTGAAAATTTGATTTTCGTTATAACTAAAAATTTGATTTATTTTTGAAAAATTACCGAAAAGTTTTAAATATTTTTGTAATTTCTTTATTTGTTTAATTTGGATAAAGTTAGAAAGTTTCTATTTACAAGAATGATCTACTGAAATGTTTAACTAAATAGGAATTGTTGAAATCTCGTTTTTTTTCTTTACTTTTGATAAAGTTTGAAAAAGTTTTATCTGTAAGCATGTTCTTGTTTACAAAATATTTATATTATTATTAAGGTTTAAGAAAATTTGCTTTTCGTTGTAACCAAAAATTTGATTTTCTTTTGAAAAATAACCGAAAAGTTTTTAATATTTTTATAATTTCTTTATTTGTTTAATTTGAATAAAGCTAGAAAGTTTCTATCTACAAGTATGATCTACTGAAATGTTTAACTAAATAAGAATTGTTGAAATCTCGTTTTTTTTCTTAACTTTGTATAAAGTTTGAAAAAGTTTTATCTATAAGCATGTTCTAGTTTACAAAATATTTATATTATTATTAAGGTTTAAGAAAATTTGGTTTTCGTTGTAACCAAAAATTTATTTTCTTTTGAAAAATAACCGAAAAGTTTCTAATATTTTTGTAATTTCCTTATTTGTTTAATTTGGATAAAGTTATGAAATGTTTAACTAAATAAGAATTGTTGAAATCTCGTTTTTTTTTCTTTACTTTATATAAAGTTTGAAAAAGTTTTATATGTAAGCATGTTCCTGTTTACAAAATATTTATATTATTATTAAGGTTTACAAAAATTTGCTTTTCGTTATAACCAAAAAATTTCTTTTCTTTTGGAATACTTCAAAATATACAGATTTTTTTTAACTAAATTAAGAATTGTTGAAATCTCGTATTTTTCTTTACTTTGGATAAAGTTTGAGAAAGTTTTTATCTATTATTATTCATTTTTATATCCTTATAACAAGCATTTTCATTTACTTTTGGAAATTTACAAAATCTACCGAAAGGTTTACTTAAGTTAAATGTTGTTGTAATCTCTTTATTTTTGTGCTTTGTTAAGTTTTCAAAGTGAAGTTGCTTTGGTGAGAAAAGTAAAGAGATAACAATAAAAATATGGGGGTTGAAAGGTGTTAAAATGCAAAAGAGCGAAAATAATAGTGCGGCGCACGTACGTCGCGTTAATATAGCACACCTTGGCACGACTTGATTTAGTGCCCGTTTAATTACGCAATCAGAGTGGGCCGCGGCAAGTAAGTAAATTACGTGCCAACGATTTTAATTAGCAATCCGGTTAATCAAACAGACGGGGCCTCGTATTAAGTGGCTTATTGTAATCCGTCAAGTAAGGCTTTTTAATTTGGCTGCGCAAATACCGCGCCAAAAGGGCCTCATCCTCATCCACCTCATCCAACTCATGCTACTTCTGATTCTGCAACCCCCCGACTACATCCTCTCCACTTCGCCGCCGCCACCGCCAAGGTTTACTTATGATCCAGCAGGTCTGAGCAAATAATCCCTGGAACAGTCAAATCCCATTCCTCCTCCCTCTTCACCCTGTTTCATCCCTGCGAAACCCTCGGCAGCTCAAGATATTTATTCTGCAGGCCAGAAACTGAATCGCCTCTTTTGTGTTTGCTTTGCAGATGTCAATATGGTGGCGGAGCCGAAGCCGCACCAGACGGGAAGGAAGCGCCAGAACGTAGCCAAAACCGGAAACGACTGGTGAGTAACCAAAACTGCAGTTTATCTCCTTGTTCCAAATTATTCTAACAGTGGTCATCAATTCATTACGTAAAGATCGGATTTTTATGATGTTTTTCGTTATCTGGTTACGAAGTTCGGTTACAATCCAATAGGAATTCGACACCTGGAGATACCCGAAATCTTAAAGAATTCAAAGCAACAGTTTTCTTACATTTATCTCCTTGTTTCAAATTATTATAAAGTCCAACAGTTTTCGTCAATTCATTAGGTAAAAATAACTTTGATTTTTTTGATATTTGTTATTGTACATTCCAATATAAATTCGATACGTGGAGATATCCCCATTTGTCCCCTTGTTCCAAATTATTATAAAGTCCAACACTGTCCTGAATTCATTACGTAAAGATCGGCTTTTTTGATGTTTTCGTTATCTGATTACGATGTTCGGTTACAATCCAATATGAATTCGACACATGGAGATACCCGAAATCTTTAAGAATTTAAAACAACAGTTTTCTTATATCTCCTTGTTTGAAATTATTATAAAGTCCAACAGTTTTCGTCAATTCATTATGTAAAAATAACTTTGATTTTTTTGATATTTGTTATTGTACATTCCAATATAAATTCGATACGTGGAGATATCCCATAGCTTAAAGAATTCAATACTATAGTCTTCTCGCATTTGTCCCCTTGTTTGAAATTATTATAAAGTCCAAAACTGTCCTGAATTCATTACGTAAAGATCGGCTTTTTTGATGTTTTTGTTGTTACGTTCGGTTACGTTCCAATATGAATTCGACACCTATAGATACCCGAAATCTTTAAGATTTCAAAACAACAGTTTTCTTATTTTATCTCCTTGTTTGAAATTATTATAAAGTCCAATAGTTTTCGTCAATTTATTATATAATTTTTTGATAATTTTTTTATTCCTTGCCAGATATCTAGTTTAAATCGCTTTACTTTCCAATATAAATTCGATACTTTTAATCTTTAAGAATTCAAAAGTATAGTTTCTTTGTTCCAAATTATTATAAAGTCCAACACTGTCCTGAATTAATTACGTAAAGATCGACTTTTTTGATGTTTTCGTTATCTGGTAACGATGTTCGGTTACAATCCAATATGAATTCGACACCTGGAGATACCCGAAATCTTTAAGAATTCAAAACAACAGTTTTCTTATATTTATCTCCTTGTTTCAAATTATTATAAAGTCCAACAGTTTTCGTCAATTTTTTGATAATTTTTTAATTCCTTGCCAGATATCCAGTTTAGATCGCTTTACTTTCCAATATAAATTCGATACTTTTAATCTTTAAGAATTCAAAACTATAGTTTCCTTGTTCCAAATTATTATAAAGTCCAACACTGTCCTGAATTCATTACGTAAAGATCGGCTTTTTTGATGTTTTTGTTATCTAGTTACGATGTTCGGTTACAATCCAATAGGAATTCGACACCTGGAGATACCCGAAATCTTTAAGAATTTAAAACAACAGTTTTCTTATATCTCCTTGTTTGAAATTATTATAAAGTCCAACAGTTTTCGTCAATTCATTATGTAAAAATAACTTTGATTTTTTTGATATTTGTTATTGTACATTCCAATATAAATTCGATACGTGGAGATATCCCATAGCTTAAAGAATTCAATACTATAGTCTTCTCGCATTTGTCCCCTTGTTTGAAATTATTATAAAGTCCAACAGTTTTCGTCAATTCATTATATAATTTTTTGATAATTTTTTTATTCCTTGCCAGATATCCAGTTTAGATCGCTTTACTTTCCAATATAAATTCGATACTTTTAATCTTTAAGAATTCAAAACTATAGTTTCCTTGTTCCAAATTATTATAAAGTCCAACACTGTCCTGAATTCATTACGTAAAGATCAGCTTTTTTGATGTTTTCGTTATCTGGTTACGATGTTCGGTTACAATCCAATAGGAATTCGACACCTGGAGATACCCAAAATCTTTAAGAATTCAAAACAACAGTTTTCTTATATTTATCTCCTTGTTTCAAATTATTATAAAGTCCAACAGTTTTCGTCAATTCATTATATAATTTTTTCATAATTTTTTTATTCCTTGCCAGATATCCAGTTTAGATCGCTTTACTTTCCAATATAAATTCGATACTTTTAAACTTTAAGAATTCAAAACTATAGTTTCCTTGTTCCAAATTATTATAAAGTCCAGCATTACGTGAATTCATTACGTAAAGATGGGCTTGTTTTTTTTAATGCTATACCTATGGCCGGATATCCGGTATGGATCGCATTACGTTCCAATATGAATGCGACACCTGAAGATACCCGAACGCTGGATTCGCTCGCCCTTTAAGAATTCCAATAAATTCGCACTCTGAAACGGAATCTCCGCATTTCTCGTTGCGCTGCAAATAGTTCGACGTCTGCAGAACAAAAACTAATTTCGACATCACTTATTGCTTCTATTCTCAAGTTCACTCCAAACGTTTAAATCCAATACTCACATAATATATACAATGCATTAATTCGTTTTCTAAATAAACGATTTCAAATACTTTCGTTTAAATATATTCATAGAAATTTCACATACAATTATTACAAATTATAAAAGAAAGTTTAATAACATTTTCTTTTAAATTTATAAAAAATAAATGTAATTTTAATATTATATAAGTTAGTGATTTTGTGAAACGTATAATTTATATTTTTTTTTTAAATTATGGACTAGATATTATGAATAATTTAGATGCAACTTTTAATCTGTGATCGTTATTAAGTGGAAAATTGTAAATTATTTATTGCATTTGTAGGGTTGCTCTAATGCACGTCTAAATCCGGTTTGAAAATAGCGTGCGAGAGCATCGATTTTCGTTCGACGTTCATGCATATTTGAAGAATTTTGATGCATCCACGGTGGGATGAGAGTAAGAACCACATTGGGACACCTATTCTGGAGCAATTAAAATTATAGATTTTCAGATGCCAATTAAGTTTCTCTAATTGTGGCTTGTCCTCTAATCTTGTCTCAGAAGTCACGTCTGTTCTGGTGACACACCTACTGATTCTGCCGTTACTGTTACCCTCCATGCTATTACTGCTACTGCTACATACAGGCTTTGACTAAATCCTCACTACATCCCTACTAATTATTTACGACGCCGTGGATTAAATTCTGTTGTGAGCGTGCGTTGCCGAGTATAGATGTGTATGTATGTATGTTGTGTGCGCTCTTCGCTATCCACGTCTCTCTTTATTACCGCTTTTTACCTTCCATTCTTCTCCGAGTGAGCACAAAGGGCTTCAGCATGAAACAGTTATAATCGTGTGCATTGTATCGGGGTAGAAGAGAGCTTGACGACAATCCCATTTGTGGCGTGGCGCAATTTTTCACAAGAAGTCGGAGTAGGCGATGATAGAAGCGGTTTGAAAAAGGGATCGCAGACGGCGATGTATCGTTATTATATCCCATTCAGGTCAACGTGCCGTCGACGGTGGTCAGCTTTGTGGCCCTTCTCTACAAGCCACCCTCTTTTCGTTTGGGGGGATGGAAATGTTATCGGCGCGCCATTCGATAAAACTAAATTGGCCGAATTGAACTGACGTTGACTTATTTAGACCCATATACTGGCCACCCCTTGTTTGCCTTTGACTCGCGAATTATTATACTCGCCTCTTTATTTATTACATAAATTACATTTCAAAAAAACATCCCCTATCCACACAATTTTTTTTTTAACTATAACGTTTCCACACTCTCTGAATGATGAACCCCTTTTGTATACTAAACTAGACATCATTTGTCTAATCCTCAAAGCAGCATACACATTTATACCAAACTTTACCAAATTTATTGATCTACTATATAATGAAGATATTTATAACAATTAATGAGAACATTTTTAAATTAACTTAGTAAAAGTGATTTTTTATATCAAATATTAACAATTTTTGACCAATTAAAGAACGAAAATATATAGAAAATTAATTAACTAATGAAGACTAATTATATTTGCATCCAAATACAAGTTGGAAAGTCAATTATAAATAAGTAAGCAATATGTACAAGTATCTTTATGATCCGGAACAAATGTAAAGTTTTTGAAGAAAATGATAAAAAAAAATGGGTCGATTGCCAATAAATTACTGATGTCCGCTGTGATTTGAGATAATAAATGGTTCTCTCGTTATGGGACGTGTCCACTCTTCCTCATTTTTATCCTATTCTAGGAAAACCCCAGAGGTCTCCAGAACCCAGTTTGTTTGTGTGTTTAGTGTATTATTGTGTTCGGATGTCTTACGTGTGCGAACGGGATTCGTTGCGGTGAGAAGGGAGGATGCGCACCCCAAAACGGGGGGCAGGAGAAATCCCCCAAGGGAGAAGGCAGGAATGAATGAGATACGATACTGCAGTCAGCACGCCAACTAGATATTTTGGTCGAACTATATATAGATATAATAAATTAATCCCCCACCGCTCTCATCTATATTGGATCGGTTTGTGCTGTAATTACGTGTGTGTTTTTTTTTTGCTCGATTTGATGATGATTGTTCATCTCCGAAGTACACAACCTTTAAGTTTAGTGTGTACTATGTCTATTGAACGAATGGCTTTTTAATTTCATCGGGATGAATCATTTATACTTCTTCGTAAAGTTTGGGGCTGTTTCACGACTCTCTCTCTTGAGTAATTACGTTGTTTGGGCAGAGAAATGGAAGAGTTGCAACGCAATTTTTATTATCGTGGCTATTAACGTGCCTCGGGTTTATTATATAGGAAGGGTCAGTCAGGTGTGTTCGCGCCTCGCAGTTTTTCTCGTCGAAGTTCATAAACACGAACTCGTAAACGTGCATTTTCCCCCCAGTTTTCACCGATGACGACGACAGCACTTCATCCCTTCAATTCGCTGCATACATTTTGCAGGGGGTGGTTGCATAACCGTTTATATTATTTCATTACATGCGGAGGCCCCTAAATAGTTTTCTGCGAGCGGCCAAATTGAATTGTGTATTTGTTATGCA